CCATTGGATTAAGTAGGACTTACTTCTGAGCAAATAAGCGCAGTTTCTAGCTGGACTCACATTAAATATAGCCACCTGCAATTTCAGGCATATGCAGGTGTGCATGTACTTTACATTCCCTGAATTGCCTGTTCCTTATTATCTTAAGGCTTCATCTCCTCCTGTGGCTAACAGAAGCAGTTCCTGTAACTATTCAGGAAACCCCTCCTCCATCAACTATGTACAGGGTCGGACTAAGCACAGAAGCAAATAAGAAGGTTGTTGCTACAGATTCATCTGCTATGTCAGCCCATCCCACTTTTTTCTTGGCAAAGGCATACTCCAGGTGATAGACTATGGCAGTGACTCTGCTTCTAAAGATGGTGAGGCTTCTACTGATAGCATGATACAAATACTGAAGGTGAGATGGGGGCCAGTCCAACTCCTAATAGAGATCCTTTAAAACGGGGCAACATTTCTAGTCTCTATCTTCGATTTACATTTCCAAGTTTAGAATGGGCTACTCTCCCCACATCTGTATCTACATCTCCAGCCATAATCTCACTGCAAGGCAATGGAGTTTGGTTCTGGAAGATCATACTTCATATAGGGCTTAACACTGGTAAAGATGCTAGAGTGGGAACACTGGTAGGAAAAAAGGTGCGATCCTGTAGACATTCTAACCCTTGGGTTGTTACATCTGATCACATGGCTACAGAGCATGTAACAGAGAAGCCCTAAGTTCTCAAGTAAAAAGCTTTCATGGGGCTAAGAGCTCCAGTATGCAGAACTAAATCACTCTGTGGTTCTCTGTGCTCCTAACTTCTTCCAGGCTGGAAAGTCAGGGCAGACTTGCTTTGTAAAAAAGTGACCCAAAGCTGTTGTTTGGTCAAATCTAATTGATAAGGCTGTGGCACTTTCACTACACATGTCTACAGAAACATGCATTTGAAAATCTGTCAGGCATAGAAGGTGATATTAAGCTGATTTCCTGGGTCATTCTATTTCATTCCATCAGGCCAAAGATTTGCAGCTGGTGATGAACAAAGGATGGGCACTGAACTTTAAATCACCAATTCTCTTGGAAAGAACACGTGTGTGTGTGTGTGTGTGTTGGGGGGATTCAGGGGCAAAATTAGACAGGATGGAGCATTCCTGTGCATTTATTTATTCATCTGTGTATCCTGCTTGTGTGTAAGTGAGGCTGGGTCTTTACACAATTACAACAAGCAGATGAAAAAAAACTAAGCCATTTCCTTCCACTTCCCTGCTTGGTTACTTTAAGTAGATTCTCCTCACATTTCCAATTTTGGAGTGGACTTGGACAATAATGTTGAAAAGCAATGAAGCACAGTGTGGTAAGGTGAAGGAGAAGCAGGATTTCACCTACTTTGTTTTGTGTAAAATATAGTTTCCCCACTCAGAATTTTATACAAACAAGGCAGAATCACCCATAAATGCAGTTCCTTCAACCATATCTAGTTTGGGCCTAACATTTTCAAGAAGTGCTGTTTGTGGGTACCATACTCCATATATATTTCAGTCCTAATACCAATTCTTGGGAAAACAGAAGTGGATAAATGTTTGTTTGTTAGGATCAGACCATCAGACTGTTTTTTTGTTGTTACCTTCCTGGCTGGCAAATGAGCAGGCAGAATCACGTACAAGGACTGCAGTTTTGGCGCAGTTATCACAAATCATGGTGTCTCATGGCATTGTAAGACAACATTGTACTGGCACAGCCACATGGTCAGCATTAGTGCATGTATGTGTGACTGCTTCCCTTGCTTGATATGGCATCAGAGTGTTCCATAAAGGTATCACACAGCATAGGAATAGCTGAAGGGGAATGAGGAACAAAGATAGAGCAAGGGAGGAGTCACGCATCTATCCACCATGAAGTCCTTTTCACCAACAGGAGCTGACTCCTAGCAGTGCAACCCTGCATGTCAAACAGTGGTGGAAAGCAGTTTTAAAGGAAATACATCTAAGATGGCCACCTTAGTTATGAGGAAAATCTACTTCACAAGATGGCTCCGTTTATCTTATAAAATACAGCATTTCCAGCAGCCACAGAAGAAGCAAATGGAAACCAATTCTGAAATTCTCATGCTCAAGAAAAGAATCCTCAAACACTAAGAAGGCAAATGAGGAACAGCCAGCTGATCGATGTACTTCTGCACTTGGGGGTAGACAAAAGGATATCGAGAGATGCCGCTCTTCAGAGCCTTGTGGCACTCTGATATAAGAAACTGCCCCTGCAAGACCTACACATCTACCAAGAGGTACACAATAAAACACTCATTTGAAAGCTTGGCCATCCTTGATCCAAGCTCTACTCCAAACAGCAATAAAACATCTGATTGTTCTTATAATATTTATTTTGGCTACTACAAATTTCAATAGGACTATATCAGATGAAGTAGATGTTTATAGCCTTTTCTGAAAGCCCAAATTCTCTTCTCCCTGCAAAGAGATGGAGGCAGCCTGATCTTTCAACATAGTGCTCCATTTTATGCCCCACTGAAAGACAATAATGCAGTTTATTGCAGGGTTTAAGATGGTAACTTCATGTTCTCAGGTGCCTAGAATGCTGCTATAATGTAATGAAGGTTTTGCTTCCAATGAAGTTTTAGCACAAGCTGCTGTGCTAAGTCTACTAACCTACTGCATTTCATATCACTATTGTTGATAGTGTAATGGGTTACCCTTTTAATGCACAAAACCAAAAATTCTTCTGTTACACATTATTTTTGATTGAAATGTAAAGTTGCCCTATGAATAAAATACCTGCAGCATAATTTAGGATGATTTGCATTCTTGTGTCTACTGAAACCCTTGCTGAATATTCTAGTATCCAGAAGAAGAAAAATCTGCCAGAAAATCCACACCAGAAGGTTTCAGTTTTATATTATGATTTTACCAATTTATTTCACAAGGCTCTTGTCTTCATTTCACCTCCCAACAAAGCCAGATCCATTCCTGGTTCAGAACATGAATGCTCAAGCCAACTCCGGGAAATATTGTGTACCAGGAATCTGAAAGCCACTATTAGATATTATTTTCTCACATGTGATTTACAGTGCCTTTGAGCCTCTCATCTATGGTTTATGACATCTGTGAATGAGCTCATTGTGGGTATGGATATACATAACCCATTCTTAAAGAATACACAATAAGGGCTGCGGTCACATGGAACAGTAGCCACGCTATTGAGACGGAAGTCAGGCGCATTTTCCAGGCGCGATCCCACCGGCACATCTGGGAAGTGTAGCACTCCCGTGGCTCAGCCGAGGCTTCCCAGCAAAGACGCACGGCAAAAAACTAGTACCTCGGAGGTACTAGTTTCCGGAAACTGCGGGGCAAGGGCAGGCGCGTGATCGTGTTCCCAGTGGAATCCCGGGGCACCCGGCGCCCGCCCGTGTCCCCTCGCAAACAGCTTTGTTTTTTTTTCTCAAGTCTCCACAGATGCGCAACAGCACCCAACGGAGCATGCGCACACTGTGTAAACAAACAACAAAACACCCTGTTTCCAGACGCTGGACGTTTGATTCACGGTGCAAAGTCAGGGAGATAACAATGCATCGAGGGGAGGGACAAGTCCAGATGGTCAGTAAGGGGGAGGACACTGCTGCTGGCAGCCAGAGGGGCTCGGCTGAAGGAAGGGAGCTCCTTGCAAGGGTATTGGGGGGGGAGGCTGGGGAAAGTCCCTCCGTGTCCTGAGAGACTCCTTGTCCTTGGGAGACTGGAGGCTGTTCAAGCGGCTTCCCTTCGCAGTGGCACATGTAGGAAAGGGGGGGGCTGGGAGTGAGATTTGGGTCGTGGAGAAGGACAGAAGGACGGAGCAGATCAA